TAGAGCTCTTTTGGGCTACTTCAGCTGGGTCGCTGCATAGCTAAGGCTGTGGCTTAACCAAAACCTGAAGCCTTGCTCCAAGAGAAGTTATCTTGCCGGCCTGACTGCTGGCTACAGAAGTGGTCACCTTCACCAGCCCAAGCTACATATCACACAGCTGTGGGAACAAACATGTCAGGACGAGGGAGGACTGCAGCTTTTGGCAGCGTTGCCAAATTGAAGCACCCACCAAAGCACTTGGGGAAAAACCAGCCAGCTTGAAGCATCCACAGATGTATTACTGTTGGCTTTTCTTAAAGCACTCTCTCAGAAAAAGAGAAAAGACTGAAAAACCCTTCAAATCAGAGTTACTTCAGCTCCCCAAAACAGGAAAAGGCTGACTACAAGAGTGTACATGACTGCCACCAAACTGTTTTGCGCTACAATCCTCTCTGCAAAATGTGACCGTGCAACAGATGCGGTGAAGCCCCAGAGAAGGAGCACACCTCCAGTAACCCAGCTCTGCAGACAAGCCACAGCCTATGCAATATCTTCCTTCTACAGGGGTGAGGCCTGGAATACCTATTCGTGCCCTCACCACAGGGTTTCCACTCCAGGGCCTCCTGCAAGGCATGTGCCAGCTATAGCTCCCCAGCACTTACGGCCAGGTACCCAGCACCAACAGAGGAGCAATGAGAACCACTCACATCTGAGGGCAAAGCTTAACACAGAGAGCCGTGCTGCCTCACAGCAAGTGATGTCAGAGCATTAAAGGATAAGGATTTAACTTCACAGGCAGCACCTCGAAGGTGAGGGTGCGCGTACTGCTGTGACTCAGAGACGAACCCTGTCACAACCTCAGTTATCACAGAGTTGATGCTTGCACTTCCCAGAGGGTTTACAACTGCCCCAAAATGTGATGCTGGGGACACAGCAACTCCCCTCCTTCCCTGAGATCTCTGAGAATAGCATCACAGGCTCCTGGAGCACCTGCTCCCACACCACTCAGTTATGACCCAACTCACAGACCAGTTGCCTCAGGCAGTCCCCCAAACAGCAGCACAAACATCAGACGAGCCAGAGCTCCTGACAAGGCCTAACCAGGACCCGAACTCTGGAACAGCCCCCCCAAAAGAAAACACCAGGAGACATATGCACAAGCAAATTTGAGCTTGAACCTGAAGCTGGTTTTCACTGATTTCACACAGTGCTCAAATCGAGTCCAACACAACATACCGGTAACACACATCATTGCACCTTCTCCAGTTGCTACAAACACACGGAGAAAATCTGCTGTGACAAAAGCTACAGACACACACTTTATATTTCTATCCAGCACCTTCCCAAAGCATCTTACGCAGTCCCAGCCCCCAACGCTCCTCTCTTCCAGAGCTCAGTCAATCAGTGCCTTCCGTTAAGGCAAGCGTTGCGATGCAGACAGGACCCACAAAGCCATCCAACGCACTACCGGTCGAGCAAATACCTCAGGACAAGCTGCAGCAATTCACTACAATGTGTTTTTTTGTTTTGTTGTTTAAACCTGTTGCCAGTTAAAACCTTTTCTTTCTTCATTTGAAGAAAGCCAAGAACAGGATTTGATCAGTAACAGCCGATACTGACCAATCTTTGGCTGTAGCGGATCCTTTCTTCTTCAGGCTCCATCTCCGACTCTTCTGAAGAGAGTGAGAAGGACACTCCAGGGCTGCTGTCGTCGTCCTCTTCCTCCTTTGAATTCAGAGGGAAACAGTGAAGCAGGTCTCAGGGACATGCAGCACCTACATCCCTCATTTCTTCACTCGTTTTGAGGTTGAATCCGAGCCCCATGCGTGGGTCTAGCTCAAGTGAACCCAGGGGATGAGCCCACCTCAACTTTAATGCTCCCATTCTAACTTTAGGCATGACCTAGGGTAAATGACTTTGCCAGCTGTTCTGTAACACATGAGCTGCAGGTCCCCAAGCAGGAGAAGGCCCCTGCTCCACCCAACCACCGGCACGAGCAGCAGCTCAGCAGCCTCGCACCGGGTACAGGAACCAGGCAAGCTGTGCGCCTGCTGTTAAACATTTGACGGCAGCAGGGGAGCAGCCTGGTTTCCCCAGAGCGCAAGACTACGCATGAGAGAACCGGCTCCTCCAAATGACACGGCTGCTGTCCTCTGGGTATCCTGCACCGCAGTGCTGGGGAGCAGCCGCACACACACAGAACATCTCCCTCGGACAGGGAGCCGTACGGGACCTCGCTGCAGCCCTTAGGAGCAGCTGTGGGTAGGGGACTAACTCCCATCTTGAGGAGACCCACACGCTCCCATCTCCCAACCCGCCACCTTGTGACACCATGCCGTACACGGGAAAGTTTCCCAAGGTGTCAGGTGGCATCTCAACTTTTTTTTTTTTTTTTTTTAAAGGAGCAGAATGAAAGCAGCACCTAGCTACACCGCAGCTCCTAACCCCACGCCTACGACTTCGGGGCAGGACTCTGCCATCCCGGGCGGTACCACGGGACCTGCTGCCGTAGCACGGGCAGCACCGCTGTCCCCCCCCGGAGCTTTCTCTGCCCCCAGCCCCCCCGGGGAAGGTTTGACAGCGCAGCACCGCTCTCCCCCCACCGCCAGCACCGGGACCGGCCCGAACGCTGTTTGTAAACACCCCCCGAGCCCCGCGCCCCCTCCCGGCCCTGCCCCGGCCCGGCGGGGCCCGGTGCCCGGCGGAACAAAGCGGCGCGGGGGCTGTCACCCCCCGGGGAGCTGTCACCGCCGCCCGGCCCCCCGCCAACTTCCCGGAGGGGCCCGGCCCGACCCCCCCCGGAGGGGCCCGGCCCTCCCGCTGCCCCCCGGCCGGCCCCCCGGGGGCGGCAGCCGGCTCCCCCCGCCCGGCCCCTCTCCTCTCCTCCTTTCTCCCCTCCCCTCCGGGGACTTGCGGAAACTTGGCGACCGGCGGCCGGCGCCCCCCCCCCCCCCCCCGCCCCGCCGCGAGTGGCTCACCAGGTCTCTCCTGCGCCTTTGTCCTCTTCTAGCGCCGGCCGGGCAGGAACACAACAGACGGCAGGGGACGAAGCCCCGGGTCAGGCGGCGACCGCGACCGGGCCCGGCCGCCCCGCCGGCCCCGCCGCCGCCCCCCCCCGCCCCCGCCGCCCCCAGCGGCCGCTGACAGCCCCGCCGCCCGCCCGCCCCCCGCCGCCCCCGGCCCCCGCGGGCCTCGCTGCCCGGCCCGGCGCCGCGTCCCCCCGCCGCCACCACAACCACCACAGCCGCCACCGCCGCCCCCCGGCGCCCCGCACCGCCACCCCGCGGCCCGCTGCCGGCCGGCCGCCACCCCGCCGCTCCCACCCCGCCGCCTCCTCCTCCACCGCCGCTGCCCGCCCCGCCGCCGCCGCCCCCCGGCCGGGACGCGCTTCCCCTCCTCACACAGGAGCCGCCGCCGCCATTTTGAACCCGTCAGAGCCTCACATACACACTGCCTCGGCCGCCGCACTGCGCCTGCGCCGCCCGCAGCCGCCCCGCGCCCCCCCCCGCCGCCTCCCCCGGCCAGCGCCGCGCGCATGCGCCGCCCCCCGCCCGGCCCGCCTCGGCCGTGCGCGGCCGCGCGCACGCAGCCCGCCCGCCCCGCCCCGCCGGAGCGGGGAGGGAGGGGGGGGAGGGAAGCGGGCGCGCATGCGCCGCACAGGGACGCGCGCGAGCGCCCTCCCGCGGGCAGGCCCGCCCGCCACGCCCCCGTGGGCCCCCGCCCCCTCCGGCCCGCCCCGCGCATGCGTGCGGGGACCCGAGTGGGGCGTGTGGGGGCGAGGGGCCGCGGGCGGGAGGGGGGCGTGGGGGTGAGGGGGCCGCGCATGGAGGTGTGCACACACACGGACACACCACATATGTACACACATGTACAGACATGTACACACACACACGTGTACTCACACACAGAATCACAGAATCACAGAATTTCTAGGTTGGAAGAGACCTCAAGATCATCGAGTCCAACCTCTGACCTAACACTAACAGTCCCCACTAAACCATATCCCTAAGCTCTACATCTAAACGTCTTTTGAAGACTTCCCGGGATGGTGACTCCACCACCTCCCTGGGCAGCCCGTTCCAGTGCCTAACAACCCTTTCGGTAAAGAAGTTCTTCCTAACATCTAACCTAAAACTCCCCTGGCGTAACTTTAGCCCATTCCCCCTCGTCCTGTCACCAGGCACATGGGAGAACAGGCCAACCCCCACCTCGCTACAGCCTCCTTTAATGTACTTATACAGAGCGATAAGGTCACCCCTGAGCCTCCTCTTCTCTAGGCTGAACAAGCCCAGCTCCTTCAGCCGCTCCTCGTAGGACTTGTTCTCCAGGCCCTTCGCCAGCTTCGTCGCCCTTCTCTGGACCTGCTCAAGCACCTCGATGTCCTTCTTGTAGCGAGGGGCCCAAAACTGAACACAGTACTCGAGGTGCGGCCTCACCAGAGCCGAGTACAGGGGGACGATCACCTCCCTAGCCCTGCTGGTCACACTGTTTCTGATACAAGCCAGGATGCCGTTGGCCTTCTTGGCCACCTGAGCACACTGCTGGCTCATATTCAGCCGACTGTCCACCATCACTCCCAGGTCCTTCTCTGCCTGGCAGCTCTCCAACACGTACACTCATGTACACCCACGTACATATGCATATGCACACGTACATACATGTACACACATACCAACATGCACACATGTACACATGCACACACACACATGTACACACACACAAACACATGCACTCACTACACACATGTACATACACACACGTACACACATGTACATTCACATCTATACATTCACACACCCATACACACAGATGTACACACACACGCACACACATACACTTGCACATACACACATACATATATACACACACACGTGTACAAATGCACACACATTCACATGCGCATGGACATGCACATGAACACACATGCACACACACATGCACACACATGCATGCACACACGTTCACACACAGTCACAGACATTCACATACACACATACACACATGTACACAAACACACACGGTGCCGTGGCTGTGCCTTTTGGAGCCCCAGCAGGTGCCCGAGGCTCTGCCTGTGGGTACCACACAGTGCTGGGATCTCCAAGCTTTAATGGCAGACCCGTGCCGTGGCCGCTCAGTGCCTGTCCCCCACCCGGCCGGCGGGTCTGGGGGCCGGGGAGTCCCCCGGGTCAGTTCTCAGCAGTGGGGCGGCTGCGGGCAGGCTCCTCTCCATGCACGGGGGGTCTCCGTGCCTGCCCCATGGTGCCCAGGCTGGGGGTGCGGGGTCTCAGGAGAGCGTGCAGCCCCTCCGGGTCCATCTCCTGCGTCGGGGACGTCGGATGGAGCGCAGCGCGGTGGCGCAGGTGGCAGCGAAGATGTCCCTGACGTTTTCCTGGTACCTGGCTGAGCACTCGAAGTAGGACACGGCGTGGACCTGCCGGGCCATGGCCTCCCCCTTCAGAGAGCAGTGACAGCAGCTGAGCCCCATCCTGTCGCCCCGTGCTGGGCTCATGTCCCCTGCCAGGGGGGGACACCCACCTGCTGCGAGGTGATGGGCTCCTGGCGGCCCTGCCGCAGCTCGCGCAGCACCTCGGGGTCCTGCCGCAGGTCGGTCTTGCAGCCCACCAGCAGGACGGGGACACCCTTGCAGAAGTGGTTCACCTCCGGGTACCACTGTGGGGAACGGGGGGTGGGACAGACGAGGGAATAGGTGGGCATCCCCCTTGGGGAGGCTGCATGGGGCGGGAGCAGCCCCCGGCGCTGCCTTACCTTGGTCAGGATGTTGTCGTAGCTGCTGCGGTTGGTGACATCGAAGCACATGAGGACGACATTGGCGTCCGAGTAGGACAGCGGGCGAAGCCTGTCATAGTCCTCCTGCCCTGCAGGCGCAGCAGCAGACCCTCAGCAGCCGGCTCCCCGATGGACCACGCCTGTCCCCACGCCGAGGGGACGTGGGGGATGGCAGGCAGCGGGGACACCCATGGGGGACCCTGTCCCCAGTGCCTCCGCGCACTGGGACACACCCGAGGCTGTCCCCTCCCATCCCTTCCCACCTGCCGTGTCCCAGAGGTGGATCTTCACAGGCTTTCCGTCAACCTGGAAGGAGGCCGTGTACTTCTCGAACACCGTGGGGACGTAGACCTGGCAGGGGACAGGGCGTGTGGGCAGCAGGTGGCTCGGAGAGGCCCCTGGGGTGGGGTGAGGGACTGGGGGGGGGGGTGGACAAGGCCCATGGGGAGGCAGTTGGGATACTCCTGGTCTCCCGCAGCAGCACCGAGCCTTGGGTGGGTGGCTGGGACCCAGTGGGACCCCCCTGGTGCCGACTAAAGCCACGTCCCAGGGCCCTGTCCCCAGCGAGGGGACCCATGGGGGGATATGGGCAGGGCGAGGGTCCCGGTGCCACCGGGGGCGTGGGGCAGGCAGGAGGAGCCTCACCTTGGGGAAGTCCCCTCTGGCAAAGACCATCAGCAGCGACGTCTTCCCGCAGCCTCCGTCCCCGACGATGACGGCCTTGATCTCAGCGGCCTTGGTCTCGGCGCCCGCGGCCTCGGGGGGCCCCGGGGGTGGGCTCTGCCCCCCAGGCGCCTGCTGCATGTGGGCACGGTGGGCCTGGCCGCGGGGACGCCTCTCCGGGCCCCAGCACCCTGTGAGGACCCTGCGCGTCCCACTCCCTCCCTGGCCTCCGCCGGTTTTATCGCCCCGAGCATCCACCGGAGGCAAAGTCCAGGGCGGAGGGAGGCACGGGATGACTCACGGCTCCTCCTGGCCCAGCAGGTGACTTGTGGAGCCCTGTCCCTCCCTGGGCCCGGCTGACGGTGTCACCTGTGGCCCTCGCCCTTCCCGTCTGCCCTCCTGCAGCTCCCCCCCTGCGTCCCCTGCAGCCTGGCCCCAGCTTGAGCCCATGGCTCCGACACTGAACACCCCCCCGAGGACATGACATGACGAGCATGGACCAGATCCTGTGGCCAGGCCTCGCTGGGAGGCTGAGGGGAAATGCAAACAGTAATGAACCATCTCAGAAGGATGCCAACATTAGGGAAGAGTAGGGGGGAGGAGAATGGAGCACAATAAAACAATTAGGAAGGTGGTAATTAGCAGTCTAATGAGATATCAGGTTGGATCCTAAAAGCACCAAGATTCTTTCACAGCAAGATGTAGCTGCTGCAATATTTCTCCTCTGGGATATCCTCTTGGGCAAAACATTTCCTTTCCTCCAAGACCAACAGAAATTTGATGAGGGAAGAGGCTGGGAGATGCAGCCACTATCGCCGAGAGAGGCAGAGCTCTCACCACCTGACCAGTGCTCCTGCAGCAACGCCCAAGGAGCAGCGCTGTTCGGAGGGGACGGAGGAGGCTCAGGTCTGCTCAGGTCCTCTGAGGACACAGAGACACGAAATCTCCTCGCCTGAGAGGACGGTGGCAAGGACGGCTCCAGCTGGACAGGACGCAGACCGCTGCCTGGAAAGGTAGGGATGGGGGCGAGCCTGGACCAGGGCGCTGCTGGCGCCTCCCGCGAGGCCCCTGCAGCCCCCTCGCCCCCCTTAACCCTCTTCCTGCAGCCCCTTGCCCTCTGCTCCACACTCTGCCCACCACTGGCAGGGCAGCCGCCTCCTCAGCCCTCTGTCCCCAGCATGTCCCCAGCCCGGCCATCTCCTGAGCCCTGCTCCTGGCCTCATCCCACTCACCCTCGGGGTCCTGCTCACCCCCTGCCCCCTGCTCTGACTGCAGCCAGGACCCCATCCCACCACCGCCTGGCCTCCTGCCATGGAGCCCAACCACACGGCCCCGTCTCCTCCGCCACCCACGCCGACGGTCGAGGGAGAAGAGGTGTGCGAGATAGACGTCCCCGACGTGGCCGTGGACGGCGCCTCGCTGCTCATCTGCCTCTGCGGGCTGGTGGGCAATGGGGCCGTCCTCTGGCTCCTTGGCTGCCGCATCCGCAGGAACCCCATCACCGTCTACGTGCTCAACCTGGCCGTCGCTGACTTCATCTTCCTCCTCCTCATGCTCACCTCCGCGATCCTCTACATCCTGGACAGCCTCTCCTGCCACACCTTCCATTTCTTCTCATACCTCACGCCGTTCTTCCTGCCCCTGCTGTTCACCCACAACATGGGCATGTACCTGCTGACAGCCATCAGCATCGAGAGGTGCGTGTCTGTCCTGTGCCCACTCTGGTACCGCTGCCACCGCCCCCAGCACCTGTCAGCTGTGGTGTGTGCCCTGCTCTGGGCCCTCTCCATTTCTGTAATTGCTATAGTAGCTGTCCCGTGCCTGACACACCAGCAAGACCAATGCCGTCTGTCCCTCATCTCCATGTATGCCCTCAACTTCCTTATTTTTGCCCCACCCATGGTCATTTCCAATGTGATCCTGTTCATTAAGGTCCAGTGCGGCTCCCAGCGGCGCCAGCCCAGGAGGCTCTATATCGTCATCTTCCTCACTGTCCTCTTCTTCCTCCTTTTAATGGTCCCCCTCAGCATCTGGAATTTCGTGCAGCATATCAATATCAGTATGGGGCACTCCCAGGTTGTTTTCCTGCTTGCCTGCATCAACAGCAGCATCAACCCCTTCATCTACTTCCTGGTGGGGAGCTGCCGGAGGCGCTGCTCCTTGGTGTCCCTCCAGGTGGCCTTCCGGAGGGTCTTTGAGGAGACAGGGGTCACTGTGATCTCCAGCTGAGAGGCCACTGTGGTTTCACTGTCTGCGCTGCGTCCCCCAGCTTCATGCTCAGCTGCCCACACCTCTTCATGGCCACCCCACGGGTCACCTTCCCATGGCTGCTTGTCAGGATGTGTTCGTGTCCTGTCGTTACCCCATCCCTATCCCTGTCCCATCCCCAACCTGTCCTCATCCTGTTCCCATCCTTTTCCTGTCCACATCACCATCCCAGCTCAGTTCCCATCCTTCTCCCTCCCTGTGCATCCCATGCCATTCCCTGTCCCAGTCTGGATCCCCATCCTGTCTCCATCCCCTTCCCTATCCTTTGCCATCCCATCCCATTCCCTGTCTGGTCTTTGTCCCCATCTCTATCCCATCCTAATCCCAACCCTGTCCCCACCCTGTCATGTCCTGTCTCATTCTCTCCCCATCCCCTTCCCTGTCCCCATACTAAACCCTGCCCTGTTCCCATCCGTGTCCCATCCCGATCCTCATCTCTGCTGCTGTTTGTTTCCATCCCCATCCCCATCCCCTTCCCAATACCATCCCCATCCCATCCTCTTCCATCCTGTCCCACGCCCCTTCCATCCCATCCCCATCCCCGTATCCGTCGGGACCCTTTTCTCGCCCCGTCCCATGCCCATTCCCTCCATCCCCGTCCCCTCCTGTCCCCTCCAGTCCCGTCCCCGCATCTCCCGGCCACCTCGACGCGGAGCGCGGGGCTTTGCTGCCCTCCAGCGTGGAAAGAGGAAACCGGAGGGCTCCGCGCAACCCCCCGGAGAAGCGGCGCTTCGACGCTGGGTGCGGGGGCTCCGCCGGCCCGGGACGGGCTCCGTTGCGGGACACCCCCGCACAGCGCCCGGCGCCCCCAGCCCCCGCGTCCTCCCGGACCCCGGCTCTGCCCCCAATAAAGCCGCTGCTCTGCCGCTGCCTCTCGTTCCTCCTCTTCGTGGCCTGGGGCTGGGGGCACCTCTGGGGGGCTGGGGCTGGGGGCTCTGCGCGCACCAGGACGCGAGGAGTGGGGAAGGCGCACGGGGAGCTCCAGCCCGGGGGCTTAGCGCCTGATCCCAGCAGGCGGTGGCAGGGATGGGGTCCGGGGACCACTGACTGGGGAGCGGGGGCTTTCCCCCGGGGCCTGCATGCCACGTGTGGGGACATCGGCAAGTGCCCTGCGGGATGGGAGACCTCCCAGCCTGGGCGTGGGCATGGACCCCAGGCTGCTCAGGGGTGCTGTGTATCGACACCAAGCCGCAGTGACGCAGGAGCTGGTCCTGTGGGAGCATGGGGGCATCAGCAGAGCCTTGCTGGGTGCCCCACTGTTGGCCTTTCTGGAGCCAGGAGGGGGGCAGAGCAGGGGGGAGGCTGCACAGGGGATGTGGGAGAGGAGCTTAGGACACCAGGCAGGTTTTTCCCCACTCACACATGAGTCAGCCTTTCCCAAAGGCAATACTCATCCCAAAAAGCAGAAATGTGGCAGTCTGACAGCATCAGACGGGAACTCTGCCCTCTGGGGCACATTCCTTTGGGGAACGGTACTGCTGGGGAGGGTTGTGGGGATGAGAAAAGCTGTGCACTTGCAGGGAATCCTACCAGGAATCCTGCCCCCCACTGACCTCCAAATTACATAATTACATTTTCTCTTCTTCCCCCCGTTCCCCACCCACGCCCCGTTATTGTCTGCAGGGAGCAGTGAGAGGGTGACACCTGGGGAAACAGGGCAGACATTTATTGATCTGGGTCCCCAGTGAAACCCACAACCATCATCTGGGGGGGCTTTAAGCAGAGTAACAGAAAGGCCTCAACAAACTGGGCTCAGCGTGTCCATCGTGGCATTGTCACTGCACACCGTGTCATCGGCCAGCTCCTCGAAGACCCTCCGGAAGGCCACCTGGAGGGACACCAAGGAGCAGCGCCTCCGGCAGCTCCCCACCAGGAAGTAGATGAAGGGGTTGATGCTACTGTTGATGCAGGCAAGCAGGAAAACAACCTGGGAGTGCCCGATGCTGTAACTGATATGCTGCACGAAATTCCAGATGCTGAGGGGAAGAGTGAAGAGGAGGAAGAAGAGGACGGTGAGGAAGATAACGATGTAGAGCCTCCTGGGCTGGCGCTGCTGGGAGCTGCACTGGACCTTAATGAAGAGAAGTATGCTAGAGATGACCATGGATGGTGCAAAGACGGTGAAGTTGAGGGCGTACATGGAGATGAGGGCCAGACGGCATTGGTCGTGCTGGTGTGACAGGCACAGGACAGCTACTGCAGCAATTACAGAAATAGAGAGGGCCCAGAGCAGGGCACACACCACGGCCGACAGGTGCTGGGGGCGGTGGCCGCAGGGGCTGCTGGAGCAGATGACGGACACGCACCTCTCGATGCTGATGGCTGTCAGCAGGTACATGCCCATGTTGTGGGTGAGCAGCAGGGGCAGGAGGAACGACTTGAGGTACGCAAAGAAAGGGAAGGTGTTGCAGGAGAGGCTGTCCAGGATGTAGAGGAGCGAGGAGGTGAGCATGAGGAGGAGGAAGGTGAAGTCAGCGACGGCCAGGTTGAGCACGTAGACGGTGATGGGGTTCCTGCGGATGCGGCAGCCGAGGAGCCAGAGGACGGCCCCATTGCCCACCAGCCCGCAGAGGCAGATGAGCAGCGTGGCGCCGTCCACGGCCACGTCGGGGACGTCTATCTCGCACACCTCTTCTCCCTCGGCCGTCGGCGTGGGTGGCGGAGGAGACAGGGCCGTGTGGTTGGGCTCCATGGCAGGAGGCCAGGCGGTGGTGGATGGGGTCCTGGCTGCGGTCAGAGCAGGGAGCGGGGGGTGAGGGTGAGTGGGATGAAGCGGGGAGCAGGGCTCCCATTGTGGATGTGAGAGGGAGGCGTGAGGGCAGGGGCAGGAGGCACCAGGAGCTGCAAAAGGGCGGCACAGGGCAGGGGAAAGGCACTGGGGAGAGCACAGCTTGTCCGCAGGAGAGCAGGGAGGGAGGGAGGTGCTGGTTGCGGGTGCTGGAGGAAAGAAAAATGGGGTAGGGCTGAGGAAAAACATTGCACTTAACTGTTAGCTTTGTTGAATCAGCAGGCTAGGGCTGTTTTTCCAGAAGGGCTTGTGCAGATCCACGTTGGTGTCCTGGCATCTCAGGCTCCCCTCAAATCCAGGTCCTGAAGAGGATTCCCCTCAGGCCAATTGTGCAATGAGGAACGTTTCCTGGTCACCAGGGTGTCCCCGGACTCGTCACTTGGCTCCTCTCTGTGCCTCTATGCTGCATGCACGGGCTGCCCCAGCCACAGTGGGGTCGCAGTGGCATCGAGAAAGGTTTTGTAACCACTGCTACGTCAGAGCTCTGCTTCCTTGTTTTTATTTATCTTGATTTTTTTTTTTTTCCCCACAAAGGAAGTGGCTTTTGCCAGAAACTATGCAAGAATTTTGTGAATGGCTCCTCATGCTTTTCTGATTAAATACGCCCAGCTCTCACAGCTGCATTCCCTCTCTGCCTGATGCATTTCTGTCACTCCTTGTTCCACTCCCCCACAGCTCAGGGCTTTCCAGCCGCACAGGGTGGGCATTGCCCCGCAGCGGAAAAGCGTGATGCTGGTGACGCTGGCAGGGCCACTGCAGTGCTTCTCAGAAGCAACTCCCCTTGTGGGAAGTATGTGGGAATTATGGCCAAGATATCTCCCGGGCACGAGGGAATACGCAGTCAAAGTGGAGCCAAAACCTAGTTTTACTCGTCGAATTTGGGCATTAACAGTTTATAAAAGTTTATAAATTATCTTTGAATAAAAGAACGAGGAATGGTAGTTTTCACTGGCACTTGCAGCCCAGACGGGTTACTGCTAATACCCCCTAATGATACAAATCCAGATACCAGGCAGGGTTCTGTCAGTGCTGTGCTTCCCTTCCAGCATGCTGCTGGAGAGACGTGCAGCCCCCCCAGCCCTTCACCAGGGGCATGATGGTGGCATGGGAAGTCCACATCTTCCTCCTTGCACTTGGGAGCGCTTGTGGTTGTTTCCCACAGTGCCACCTCTCTGGTAGCGCACAGACCAGGGGCTGTGGCTCCTGACCTCAGTGTGGTTGTGGTTCAACCCTCCCTGGGGGCACAGGCCCTCCACACCTGCTCTGGGCAGGTCCCTCAGCTGTAGAAGACCTTTCCCAAGGGAACCCACCCTTCTGTGCCCTACCGCTCCTGTAGAGCAGTGTCCCTGTGATCGGCCACTCCTGGCTGCTGTCCTGGCTGCCAGGCTGAACATCTGGTTCCTCACTGATTTTAGGCTGCCCTAAAATAGGTTGTTTGCTCTCAAAGACATCAGATTCATCCCGCCATATAATTCCAGTCCCAATGCTCCTGCAACAGAAGAGCTACTCCTAAGGTCTCCTGTTAAAGTCACTCCCTTCAGCAGAAGTTGTTTTGCACAAGCACACACCATCATCCCCATCCTCTCAGCTCTGCCCCTCACTGGCATCTCGCTGAGGGTGGAAGCTGTGGATACAGATGGTGGCGGCTCCACAGGAGCCTTCACCAAGCTCAGCACTGGCTGCCCAGCAGCAGCCTGGCCACGTCCGCAGCACCTGTGTTCCACCCAGTGCCTTTGGTGGGACTGGGTCCTGTTGGAAGAGCCAGCAGGGAAAAAACATTATTGGTGCAGCGCTCCTGAGTGCAGGGTGGCAAGGGCTGGAACAGGCAAGGATGCACATGCAGATGTAGTGCTGAGTACCTGCAGCACCGTGTGGATTCCAGAATGAAACCTCCTGGCCCCAGTCCATACCCTGTCTGCTTCCCTGGGTGGAGAAGTCCCTGCTCTGGGGCCTTGGTGCCTGATTGTAAAGCACTGAGCATCCAGTGCCTCGATTCCCACAAGCCCCCGTACTGGAGGAGGTGATGGAGAGGGACAGAAAAGAAGCTTTCATCTCCCTCTGTCCTGGTATCCTCCTGCACCACTGTTTGGAAGAAAAGGTCCATCTCCTTCTAGCTGACAGCATCATTCAGCAAACAAATCTTGACACCAACAGGGGGGTTTAACTAGGGAGGCAGGAAGGGACAGGGTAAAGAGGCAAGTGCCTGCAATCAGCACTGGGCCAGGCTGGACAGAGGATGGACAGACAGACAGACAGACAGGGGTGGATGACCATTGGTAAGTGCGGTTCTGGGCGTGGGGTGAAGAACCCCATGGAGCAAACTGCGTGGGCAGTCCTAAATAAAGGGACAGGAATGTGAAAATGAATGTGAAATGTGAATGTGAAAGCTCTGGCAGGTGATAGCTCAAGAGGGTGAGCTCTGCTGACTGGACAGTTTCATGAGCTTGTGAGAAACAAAGTTGTGTTTTTGCAGTAGAGAACTAATTTTCTGTATTCAAAGGTAGTTGTGTAGTCATAACAAGGAGCAATGCTAAGTAGGTAAGTGGACAGTAGAAGGCCTCACTCTTCCAAAATAAGGTAGAAGCTTGAGAAAAACAGGATGAGCAGTGTGAGAACAGTAAAAGATCACAAGTTCTCAAAGCATAAGAAAGGAGAAATTAAGGGGTAGAAAAAAAAAAATGTATATATATAGTGTAGAGGAGCATTGAGTAGCTTGTGCACCTGTAGTACTCAGCCAATGAGAAAACAGGGGAGGTGATCGGGCATCAGGTAATAGGGAATAAAAGGTTATGATTTGTTCACTAAAATGCACTCCTGATTGACAGGCCGCCTGCCATTGCAATCACGAATAAAAGAGCTTCACAGAAGATCCTGTCTGAAGAAAAATGAGATGTTTCTCACAAGCTCTCCTGACATACAGCCATAATATTTACAGAACATAGCTTCTTCTGAAGATGTATGAGCCTAACCTCGACACAAACAAGTAACTGATGTTTGTAAATCTTGTGTTGGAAATAAAAATTTAGGCAACCAATCCCAGGATGTTGCCTGCAAAAGCAGAAGCCAGGAAACCCTGGGTAACTCTGCTCTTTCTCAGAGCACATGGGCAGTGAGCATAATCTTGCACAGCACTACACCGGCATACCTTGGAGCTTTCTTATCATTACTTGTTTGCACTTGAAGGGACTGAGGTTGCAGGGGGGGGATATCTGGGGACACAAAGGCAGTGTCAGCAGGCGAGAGAGGAGGAGATCTCAGCCCTGGAGCCCCCACATGCTCCAGGTCCAAGCAGGAGCACCCCTTCCTCTCGGGTGCAGCAGGAGCTCTTTGAACTGCAGCCACTCTGGGTAGGACTCGTCTCACTGAAGTTCAGCTCTCCAGAAATTATTGTCTTAGGAAGTCTCAGTTAGTTTTGTGCTCACAGCAGCATGCTCCTGGAAGCTGTGTGTTTGAAGGTCATGTGTCACTGTGAAGTTGTGGTATATAAGTGGCAATCCTCGTTTTGAATCAGACAGAAATCTTAGAGCAATGCCACGCTTGTAGCGCAGGGTCCTAGAGATCACTGCCTGAACTACAGGAAAAAAAGTCTGTCCAGTTCAAAGATACAAAAATGTTGGGATTGGGTTTGCTTTAAAGTGAAATTAAAGAGGAACCTAACAGAAAGATGTTTTGTTTTTCCCATAGGGCTAGCTTCTGAGACTTGTTAGTCATTTCCTGTATGAACGCAAGCATAGACTATAACCAGAACTCTGATATCATCAGATGCTATGAAGCAGCTTCATGTTTGCAAGAGCTCCTGAGCACGCAACAAAGCAGTTTGTAAAAGGGCCCGAGAAATGTGCCGTGCTGGGCGCCGCACAAGCTCAGCAGGACAGGCATGGTCCAGTTTATAAGCGGTAATTCCAGAAAACCTCATGAGAAGATTCTGTCACAGGACAGCAGCTGGCAAGCAAGAGGAAATGTGAGTCTGCAGCACGTCTGCTCCAGTGAAGGTCTCCAGGCTGCGACAGAAAAGAAGGTCAGGCTTTTCCAGGTGTTTTATTCCCATCCTAATCAGTGCACCCACTGGCCTCCTCCTCTCCCCTGGCCCCCTTCTCTCTCCCCCACCCATCTCCTTCTCCCCCCACCCCTTGCTTTTGAACCTGCTGGTGATTTGCATCAAATCTGATCGCAGCTCATTAAGATGTACAAATATTTGGGGAAAGGTGGTAGGGGAATACTGAAATGGGCGTCTCACTGAAGGAACCTAGCTGCTTAGTAATACCAGTTGTAATTTGAGTCCATGTCAGATCCACCCACAAAACTGCTTGCTCTTTGCCATCTCCAAGGACAATCCCTTCATCCTCCTATTTCCCTCCTCCAGATCTAACCTGTCCAAAGCCAGAAAAGAAGCATCCCCCTAGCTTTTTCTCCATTCCTGTGCATGCTTTTGTGCCAGGCATGTTATACCCATCTCCCCCATCCCTCCTGTTCCTCATTTTTTCTTTGTGCTTCTCCATGTGGAAGATGAGGTATGGCTGCAAGGACCTTAAAATCCTGGTGTGGGGGCACACTGGAGCTTCTGACATGCCTCTGTTTCTTATCACCCCTCCAGCTGTGCAAGGGGAAGCTGAAGCAGCAGATGTTTCACAATGAGCGCACCGTTCCCTACCACAGCACGATACAGCCCTGCTTGCTGGAGCTGGCCCAGTGGGATGGCGCATGACGAAGCTTGGCACCGTGGGCTGATGAGGCAGGCTGCCTCACGTGAGGACGACTACAACTGGACTGACTGTGAGGCTGACAGTTTGAGCGAAGTCCCTGCCACGCTGCTCATCTGCCTCTGCGGGCTGGTGGGCAACGGGGCCGTCCTCTGGCTCCTCGGCTCCCACATCCGCAGGAACCCCATCACCGTCTACGTCTTCAGCTTGGCCATTGCTGACTTCACCTTCCTCCTCTCCATTGCCATCGCCCTTGTGATGTTTTATGGACCACTGAGCTTTTGTCACAGGCTGGGCTCACGGGATGTGATGGCTATGTTGAACATCATCATCATCTTCGTTTTCACCACCAGCATATACCTCCTGGCGGCCTTTGGTGCCAGCACGTCCCTGTCTGCCCTCTGCCAGGCCTGCTGGCCCCGCTACCGCTCCTGGCACTTGCCAGCACTTGTGTGTGCCCTGCTCTGGGCCCTCTCCTTCTTGCTTACCGTGACCCTCTACTTCTCCCCAGTGGCACTTGTCATCTTCGTCCTGAGCTACCTGTTGTCGGTGCTTATCCTGATTCTTTCCAGTCTAACCCTTTTTGCCAAGGTCTTGTGCTGTTCATGGCAACATCCCCTGAGGAAGCTCTGTGTTGTGGTTCTGCTCGTTGTCATCTCTTTCCTCTTCTTCAATGCTGGCTTTCCTTACTGGCTCTTGCTAAGATTGTTTGATTTTTCAGTTCTCTTCTTTGACACACCTCTCCTATTTGCCTGTGTGAGCAGCAGTATCAATCCTATTATTTATTTCCTGGCAGGGAGCTGTACAAAGAAGTTCCCAGTCTCTGCTAGGCTTGCTTGTCAGAGGGCTTTTGAAGACGTCATGGAACCTGAAAACAGAAGTGAAACTCCCAGAGAAAGCTCAGTGGAAATAAATGTTTAACCTTCTCCAGCCCCTCCCTGGGAGAAGATCCTCTAGGGATGGCGGTGTCCTGTGAGACAGGGTGAGGCAAGAACGATGGCTTTGGTGCTGCGCAGAACTAGCAGCAAGACAATGTGCTGGGCAGCACAGGAACCTGTGCCTGGGGTTGGCACTGGGCAGGTGGTAAAACACCCATCAAAACGTTTTGCTCTGAAATCTTTGCTTTGAATCTGTCCTATCTAACAGGTCTGAGCTGTTCCTTCTTCAAAAGTGAGCTTGCTCTAGCCAGTGTGCTATTAAAGCAAAGCCAAAGCCATGGAGGCTCTTAGCTCCTGCCGGTGCTTTTTTTTCGTGTGTCTGCTGAAGAGCTGAGCACTGCTGGATGCAAGAACCTGGCAAAGCAGGGCAGAGTAATGCCTCAGCAAAGCTTTGTGTGTGCAGCCTTGGTGGGTGTGGATACATGCAAAGACTACGCAGAGAACTCCCGTTCGGCTTTGTGAAGAGGGAAGTAGCCATGTGTGTGTGATCAGCCCCAGAAGGCTTTCCCCAAAATGCAGTGCTTCTTCTGGCAGCAAGGCAGACAAGTTTTGTCCACGCATCATGTTGGCCATCTGCACACAATGGTTTGGACTGGAACTGGCTCTTGCAGTCCTTCCCACTCTCCTCTGGGCTGTCATATGGTTAGCCTGAGCAGATGCCATTTTGCAACCACAACCTGATGATTGTATCCAGCTCTGGTGTGTTTGGTCCTTCTCCAGAAAAACAAGAGGAGTAGCGTTAGGATCAAACAGAAACAGAAAAGGACAGCTCTGCTTGAAGACTGTAAAGTCTGGATTTTCAAGGTGACAGAGGATACTGGGCGATGGAAGGAAAACAATTAACTTTTTATGGAAACAACCCTGCTGAAGCTGTGAGAACTGACTCCTGGTAGGAGGCACCCTCCAGGTGAAAGGAGCAGTGCCAGTGCTTCCTTGGTTCCTCTTCCTTTGGGTGCGTTCCTGCCCTCCACATCTGTCAGCCCGTCCTATGAGGAGCTGGGGTCTGGAATGAAAACTGGTCACTTGGTGCTCAGCTGTTCCTAGGAAGAGCTTCCAGCTCTAACGTGGTGGTGGAGCTGAACTGCAGGCTTCTTGCAGGCAGCTTCTCTGCTACCTGCAGCATTCTGGGCAGATGCTGTCGGCTGCCCAGGGCCTTCGCAATGTGAATGGGGAGGTCTTGTCACTGATAACGCTGCCACATCCCAGCTGTTCCAGTGTTGTTCCACCTGCGGTGGGATGAGGCACAGCATGCTTGGGAGGCACCTGTGCTCCCCATGGACAAGCCAGGGGCTTAGAAATGAAAGGGAATGAGCAGTGTTGTAGGAAAGACAAGCCAGGCCTGCTCTGCTCAGCAGTGACAACCCATGCAGCAATGCAAGTGCGTGCAGGGTGCATCACAGCAGGTCCTCCATCTCCTCCAGGCAAAAGCTTCAGAGCTAAGAAAAGCTTCATTTTTTTAAATCAGGTGCACCTACACTCTCAGCTGTGCTGAGGTAGGGAGAGATTTGTGTGAGCTGGGGGTTGAGCCAGCTCTGAGGCCCTATGTGCAGCCACCGAGTAAACATGCACACCTTCAGAGGTTCATTCACCGCACCTGCATGAAGACACAGGCTAGAGCATCTGCTTGCATCACGGTCTCTTTGGTGAGACTGTGGGACAACACTAGAGAAACAAACTTGAAAGAGGTGCCCCCTTCTCAGTGTGAACAGCTCCACCTGCTTCAGGGTGCGAACCAAGGGTTCAGGGCAGAGGGAAAGAATAATGGGCGCAGAGATACCTCTAAGATATTCCTAGAGAGAGAGCATTAGACTGAAGACAGTGTGTGAGACTGAGGTGGGGAGAACAGGCAAAAAATAAAGGGGAAGTGCCAGGAACATTTGGGAATAAAGACTGGGTATGCTGGGCCAGCTCTGCCAGCAGCCCTGGAGCTGGGGAATTGCTGCTGGTGCTGTGCAGGATCCATCCCAGTGCAGGATGTGTCCCCATGCTGGATGTGTCCCAGTGTTGGATGAGACCCTGCAGCCAGCCAAGGTCCCAGAGCTCCCGTTCCTGCTCAGGGAAACCCTCCTGGGTCACCTGGTCCGAGAGGGAGATTTTGGTGGGGCTGCATTGCCAGCGAGCCTCTCCTCAGCAGTGTGTCCTGTGTGTACCTGAGAGTAGGTGAGAAGGAGGAATGAGCAAGAGTGAGAAAGAAAAAGAGGGCAGCATCCAACAGTGCTCTTCCTAGTGTGTGACAGGGCAATACCCTGTCCAGCCTGGGGCATGAAATTGTTAAAGTGACCTCTCTGTGGAATCTTTTCATGTTTTATTGAAACCATTGCCAAGTTAAGCTTGTATTTTCTTTGACCATACTTCAGGAAGAAAACATCACAGGAAGTATGAAATGTACAAAAAGAATTATTATTATTATTATCATCATCATTATTATTATCATCATCACCATTATTATTATCATTATCATTATCATTATCATTATCATTATTTTAATGTTATAAAAAAAAAAAAAGAGTGTTAAAGATGCTATAAAAACCAGATAACCGACATTCTGGAAGAAGTTTCTTTTAAGTCAAACAATGATTAGGTTGTTTCTTATGAAATATAATAGTACCCCTAATAGTACCCCTAGAATAGTACGCCTAGAAGGGCCCCTCAGTCGATGCTCATGTTGTTACTGCTATAATGCTTGTCAGAAGGGATCTCAGCTTTAGTTTGGAGGAGAACATTGTACTGGGTCTGGCTGGGATGGAGTTAATTTTCCCTGCAAAAGCCCATGTAGTATTATGCTCTGCAGCTGTAGCTAGAACAGCACTGGTATCACACCAGTGTTTTGTCTGCTGCTGAGCAATACTGGCACCTCATCAAAATATCCTCCAAACCGCTCCAAGAGCCAGCAGGCTGGGGGTGGGCAAGAGGTGGGGAAAGGACAACACTAGAGCGGATGACCTAGACTGGCCAAAGGGATATTCCATGCCATATGGTGTCAGGCTCAGCAATTAAAGGTGGGAAATGGGAAAGAGGAGTGGGTGCTCTCGTTATGAAAATCTGTCCTTCTAAACAACTGCCATGCATATTGTGGCCCTGCTTCCCAGTATGTGGCTGAACACTGCTCATTGATGGGAAGTAGAGAATATATATTTTTCCTCTATATATGCTTCTGTGTGTCCTTTGCTTTTTTCCTTTTCCTTTTCCTTTTCCTTTTCCTTTTCCTTTTCCTTTTCCTTTTCCTTTTCCTTTTCCTTTCCTTTCCCTTTCCCTTTCCCTTTCCCTTTCCCTTTCCCTTTTCTTGTCCCTTTCCTCTCATCCTTGTTCCCATTTCAAGGTCACTAGGTGTGTTTAGCCTAGAAAAGAGGAGGCTGAGGGAAGACCTCATCACAGTCTACAGCTTCCTCACAAGGGGGAGTGGAGGGGCAGGCACTGATCTGTTCTCTCTGGTGACCAGCGATAGGACCAGAGGGAATGGAGTCAAACTGCGACAGGGGAGGTTCAGGATGGATATTGGGAAAAGGTTCTTCACCAAGAGGGGGGTCACACACTGGAACAGCTGCTGGCAGTTGCCCACCAGGAAATAAACAATGGGATTGGTGCTGCTGTTCAGCAATGCCAGCAATAAAGGTACCTGGTGAGGAAATAGTTCCTTTGCAAGCGGAAGATCGTGGAATGCCTCTACACTGAAAGGAATAGCAAGGACAAAGAAGAAGATGACATTGAGCAGGACAGCAACGTAGAGTTTCCCTGGGTGTCGTCTCTGAAAGCCACATCGGAGTTTGATGAACAGGGACAGGTTGGAAATCAACATCACTGATGATAAAGTCGCAGTGATTGCAACGGCTATACCTCCAAATGCTTCCTCATATGGCACACGAAAGTGAAAGCTAAGATACATTGAGGAAACAAAAGATGCAGCAAAAGCCCAGAGCAACCCACTCACAATGCCAGACAAGTGCCTGGGGCGATAGCAACGATACCAGATTGGGAAGAAAACAGAGACACACCGGTCCACACTAATTGCTGTAAGTAAACCCAAGCTGCTGAGGTCAAAGAAGTGGCACAGAAATCCAAGTATAATTTCAAGAACTCTATAGGAAAACATAATATGATTAAAGAGAGAACAATTTGTTATGCTCAAAAATGCCGACATGAGCAGAAAAAGGAGGAGGAGCAGAGAGAAGTCAGCAACAGCCAGATTTAGGATGTAGACAGTGAAGGGGTTCCTCATGTGGGAAAACAGGAACCAAATGACTATCCCATTCGTCACAACTCCACAAAAAGAAATCCCCGTACACACACCTAAAAAGACCAGAGATTCGTAAGATAGCGTTAAGCACATGTCCATGTTATTTCCAGAAGAGTTCAGATATCCAGAAGTTGTGTAGATCAGAGAGAAGTCTGTTGTGCTGGTCTCTGCCATGCTGAAGCTCCTGCTCTGGGTGGCCACCTTGTCCCTCTCCCAGCACCTCCTGAGAGACAAGGAAGGAGAGAGAGAAGAGGAGCATCGGTGCTCCCGGCACTCACCGTCTGTGCCCGTGATCCCAGGCTGTGCCCAGGACAGGCTCCCACAGCTCCAGCCCCATCCCTGGCCAGCAGGCATCTCCCACCCACCCATCCCTGGCCTCCCACCTCCCGGAGCTCCTGGAAACAACTCTGGCACATGGGGTCTCCACGGGGCCAGGCTCACCAGGAGAAAGGGGCTGGCAACAGATGCCAGGGCCACCCTGCTCTGCTTCAGCCTCCTCCCTTGTGCCACGGAGCAGACCTGTGCCCTGAGAATGGGTCCCGTGGTCAGGAGACTCCTCTCACAATCTCATCTCATCAGTGACAGCTTCCCCTCACATGTCCCACGATGATCTTGTCAGTGGGAACTGGCCACGTCACCTCCTTCCATCCCCCTCTGCTGTTTTTTATCAGGAGGTTTTGTTCTGTTATGGTCTCAGTTAGAAATACTCCAGGAAATATTATATAAAATGCCTTGTACTCAAGATGAAACCTTAAAGAAGGAGAGGATAGCACAGACAATCTTATGTCCATTCAGGTGCTGGGAACCCCAAGTCTTGCAACATCAAATTGGCCCCTTATCAGGGCAGACCTTGTCCATGGAAGTGTTACCTCATCACGGTAATTGAAAGTATTACAGGATTTTCTTAAAAAAGAGAACAACACATCGTTTCTACTGTCAAACAAAATGGATGTTCACTTGAGAACCATTTTGGCACTCTTGCCTTGGTAAAGGCAAGGACACATAGGTGGTGGAAGACTTTCATAGCTCTCACCTGTTAGTTAGCTAACCTTACTGCCTGCATCACCAAGGGTATGGTGGGGAAGAGATTTGGCAGGGCAGGAGGAAGGTAGAAAGGTGAGAATGAGTGAAATGGCCCAGGCAGGGACCATTAGTAGCATGGCTGAAACAGCAGAATCACAGACTCATAGACTCACAGAATGTCTCAGGTTGGAAGAGACCTTAAAGATCATCTAACTCCAACCCCCTGCCATAGGCAGGGATGCCACCCACTAGATCAAGTTGGCCAAAGGCCCCATCCAGCCTGGCCTTGAACACCTCCCGGGATGGGGCATCCTCTTGGCAACCTGTTCCAGTGCCGCACTACTCCTACAGTGAAGAATTTCCTCCTCTTGTCTAGCCTAAATTTATCCTCTTTTGGTTTAAGACCATTCCCCCTTGTCCTACCGTTATTTACCTGAGTAAACAGTCCTTTTCCATCTTTTTTACAAGACCTCTTTAAGTACTGGAAGGCCACAAGTAGGTATCCCCAGAGCCTTCTCTTCTCTATGCTGAACATCCCCAGGCTGAACATTCTCCAGGCTGAATATCCTGAGCTCTCTCAGCTTTTCTTTACAGGAGAGGTCTCCAGCCCTCTAATCATCTTTTTAGCCCTTCTCTGGACTCACTCTAACATGTCCACATGTTTCTTGTGCTGGGGGCCACAAACCTACCTTTTTACAGCTGATCTACCTTTTTACAGTTGCCCTTTCCTGGGTCTTGACCATTACCATTGTCATTGTTGGCACACTCTAAGTTTTTTGAGCCCCAGAGCATCGTATCTGCTGTGTAGGGGCACTTCAGGGGCAAGAGGGGGATTCCTCACTATGTTTCAAGCAGAGATGAGGGTCCAGCCACCCTTGTATTGTGAGTCCATCAATTCTGTTGGTTTCAGGTTGGAAGCCATTTTACCATCCTTTTCCAAGGATTTAAGGCAAGTCAGATGGCCAGCCCGTGCCAGCATGGTACCACGTGTCGATCTCTCGCTTGGATTCCTGGATGCATTGCAGACTCTTGCAACCTGGCAACTTGCTCAGAGAGTGCGTCTATTTGGTCACACGTGCGCCCATGACACCCAACTCTGCCTTCAGGCCCTAGAGGGACCTCCAGATATTGGAGCTCCCTGCAACAGATGGTCTGGGTGGCTCTTTCAGTCCTTGGGAGATCAGTCTGGGTAGAGGCATCTACTGGGGGGGTCATAGCCCCTCTGCCTGGGTTTCAGTCTCAGCCTTGGAGGTGTGGTGGGTGGACATCATTTTTACCTCACTGGAAAGCTGCTTCGTGGTGCTCCCAGAATAGAGGGTAGCGAGATCAGTCCACCTCCTGCTCTCCCTGCTCAGCAGAGATGGGGCTTCTATTTTTGCCCAAGCCTTGTCAGCTGCCCTCATGAGGGCTGCCAGGTCCCGGTGGCTCCCTCAGCTGCCTCAAGTGGCCTCGATGCAGGAAACCCCAGCACACTGAGATCCCCTCCACTGCAGAACGCATCTGCCCCGGAGCTGATTGCATTGGCAATACCCCTTGGAAGTCTCTTGCAGCCTGTGGCCTTAACCCTCCTCCTTCTTCCCCACATCATTCCTCAGGTGTAGAATCACTCCCAGTTGTGCCAATCTGTTTCCCGGCCCCCCGGGCCCTATCACACACCCATGCCCTGCACCTGGGATGCCAACAGAGTACTCTCAACAGCCACCCATAAGGCAGAGCTCTGGCCTTGCCTTAACTTGCCGTGAAAAATCACCGGTGCTCAGATACACAACAACACAAGAGCTTTGCCCTCTGTCTCTGATCACATCCCCGTCATGTCTTCTCTGAGACTACATTTTGTGGGGTACATAGTGTTGCATACATACTTTTATCTGCAAGTGGTTCCTGTCTCACAATCTGATTTCACATCATAAGGGCTGCCGTCCTCACTAATCATATTCTCTTTCATGCGTTTTCCATCTTCTGAATACCTCTTCTTAGGAGTTATTGCCTATGTTTTTTCTATGATTTTTTTATTTTTATTTTTTGCCTATGGTCATTCACAGAATGATGTCCTCCAAGGATATCTTTTGATTTCACATAGTGAATGTACAGGGATGAACCCAGCCCAGAGTCTCTCTGAGGGGAGCCAGTCTTGGGCTGCAGGAGATGGGGACCACATGTAGACCTAAAACAAGGGTAGAGCTAATTCCACCCATGAGAAGGTGGTGGTGAAAAGGCTTCCAACAGGTGTAACACCTTCACAATGCAGGCAAACCCTGGGTGCTCAGGCCTGACCCTAGCTGGATCCCATGGTCCATGGGCAGGAGGTTAATGGGTGGGGTCAGGACAGAAAAGGGGCTGCTGTTGGATGCTATTGCCTTCAGGGCCCTGGAAGAGGGAATCAGAGAGTCTCAAAGTGTACAGGTTATTGTGCTGTGGTGTTCAGTCATGCTTCATGAATTGAAGTTCCAGCCTCTTCATTTTCCATTCCCACAGCTAGGCCAATCAGATCATCATTGTCCTTCAGTGACAGCACTTTTTTTTTTTTTTGTGTGTGTGTGTGTGTGTTTGTTTTTTGTTTTCTTCACCACCACTGTGAAAAACATTTCCCAGTACTGATTTCTTCTATGGCTTTGTAGCATTGCATTTGTCACAAGTGTTATGTTCCGTGCTTTGACACATTAAAGCAAAGCCTTTGTCTGGGGGGAAATGTTTCTGAACATTAAACATATTAATGTTTCTGAACATTCAACATAAAGTTGGGAGAAGTCTTTGAGCACCAATTTACGTGTGTTTAGAAGCACTGAGCAAAGACTGCATGCTGTTGCACTTCCACACATCAGACGTTACCCACTGTTGAGGATCCCTGCCTGGCCTCTCTCACTCTCATCGTTCTGCCATTCTCCTGCCCAGGGGGTGACTTACATGATGACTTCTGACACAGAGCCTTCCACACAGAGACAAAGGGTGCTGCTGGGAAGTAACAGTACAACACATTAATCTGCAAATCTGTTCCCAGAGCTTCCTGGTATGAGATGATCCTTCCTTCAAACCCCTCTCACTTTGTACTTGAACAGTCCAGACAGCATGGTCATTCACTGACACCATGCTTCTCTCCCTTCCTTTACCTCCAAGCAGAAGACTTGTTTGCACTTGGCTCTGCAGGGACTTTCTTCTACAGTTGTGTGGTTAGTTGTGGCACCTGCCAGGTTTGCCACATTATGGCAAAGGCTCTGTCAGGGTGCAAAATGTCTCAGGAGACAGCAGAAGAAAGTCTTCCACACACAGTGAAACCCAGCAGCCCCCAAAATGGCAAAACAAAGCTGGTGGATGGGGAGAAGAAAAGGAAGGGGGTGACATGGCCAACTCCCACTGACAAGATCATCGTGGGACATGTGATGGGAAGCTGTCACCGATGAGATGAGATTGTGAGAGGAGTCTCCTGACCACGGGACCCATTCTCAGGGCACAGGTCTGCTCCGTGGCACAAGGGAGGAGGCTGAAGCAGAGCAGGGTGGCCCTGGCATCTGTTGCCAGCCCCTTTCTCCCGGCAAGCCTGACCCTGTGGAGGCCCCGTGTGTTGGTGCTCCTGTGACGGTGTTGTTCCCAGGAGCTCCAGGAGGTGGGAGGCCAGGGATGGGTGGGTGGGAGATGCCTGCTGGCCAGGGATGGGGCTGGAGCTGTGGGAGCCTGTCCTGGGCACAGCCTGGGATCACGGGCACAGACGGTGAGTGCCGGGAGCACCGATGCTCCTCTTCTCTCTCTCCTTCCTTGTCTCTCAGGAGGTGCTGGGAGAGGGACAAGGTGGCCACCCAGAGCAGGAGCTTCACCGTCGCAGAGACCAGCACAACAGACTTCTCTCTGAACTACACAACTTCTAGACGTCTGAACTCTTCTGGAAATAACATGGACATGTGCTTAACGCTATCTTATAAAACTCTGGTCTTTTTAGGTGTCTGTATGGGGATTTCTTTGTGTGGAGTTGTGACAAATGGGATAGTCATTTGGTTCCTGTTTTCCCACACAAGGAACCCCTTCACTGTCTACATCCTAAATCTGGCTGTTGCTGACTTCTCTCTGCTCCTCCTCCTTTTTCTGCTCATGTCGGCATTTTTGAGCTTAACAATTTGTTCTCTCTTTAATCATATTATGTTTTCCTATAGAGTTCTTGAAATTATACTTGGATTTCTGTGCCACTTCTTTGACCTCAGCAGCTTGGGTTTACTTACAGCAATTAGTGTGGACCGGTGTGTCTCTGTTTTCTTCCCAATCTGGTATCGTTGCTATCGCCCCAGGCACTTGTCTGGCATTGTGAGTGGGTTGCTCTGGGCTTTTGCTGGAGCTTTTGTTTCCTCAATGTATCTTAGCTTTCACTTTCGTGTGACATATGAGGAAGTATTTGGAGGTATAGGCATTGCAATTATTGTGACTTTATCATCAGTGATGTTGATTTCCAACCTGTCCCTGTTCATCAAACTCCGATGTGGCTTTCAGAGACGACACCCAGGGAAACTCTATGTTGCTGTCCTGCTCAATGTCATCTTCTTCTTTGTCCTTGCTATTCCTTTCAGCATAGAGGTATTCCTCAATCTTAAACACACACAGAATCTATTTCCTAACCTGGTATTTTTATTGCTGGCATTGCTGAACAGCAACACCAATCCCATTGTTTATTTCCTGGTGGGCAGCTGCCAGCGAGGGCGGATCCAGGGCTCTTTGAAAGCTGCCTTCCGTCGAGTGTTCGAAGAGAAGGCAGTGAGCGCGGAGGGGAGCCGCACACCCAGGAACATGGCATTGGAGGCCGCTGTGTGAGGCCCCGCTGGGGAGGAGGCCTGGAGGCACGGAGCCTGGCAGGCAGCTCGGAGCCTGCTTGCTGCAGGGAGGGACCATGGCTGGAGCTGGGCAGGGGGCGCGTTTGACACGGAGCTGGCACGGCACTGCTAGGCCAGGCTCAGTCCCCACACGCGGGCTGTCTTCCCCACTGCAATGCCCCTTGTTGTGCTGGTCCTATGAATAAACTCTGGCTCGCTCTGGTCAGCAGATGAGTTTCATGGTCTTTGGGGGGACATCCTGCCTGGGGAGAGTCTGGTGTGTTAGGCCCTGGGGGAGCTCTGGCTGTCTGCTGTGCAGGCAAGGCAGGGCTCTTCAGAAAAGATTGCAAAATTGGGCAAGCCAATGGGTCCATGTTGGTCATGGGAAGATTAGTGGGATAGAGAAGAAGACATGGGGTAACGTAATATTTTTTGGGGAGAGAGAGGAAAGTGAGGCAGAGAGAGAAGGAGAAAGAGCATGTGTAAGGGAACGGGAACGGAAAAAGGAAAGGGAAAGGGAAAGGGAAAGGGAAAGGGAAAGGGAAAGGGAAAGGGAAAGGGAAAGGGAAAGGGAAGGAAGGAAGGGAAAGGGAAAGGAACAGGGAAAGTAACAGGGAAAGGGAAAGGGAAAGGAACAGGAAAACAGTAGAGGACATGGAGCTGTCTCCATGGTGCTGATGCATGAGATTTAGTAAGACAATTTCTTAAAGATAAAATCCCATTTGCAGCTCTCTCTAACCTTCATCTGCAATCTCTAAGGTGACCTGTCTGGGAAGTTGGATCAGACGCAGTAGGTAAAGCCTTGATGCTGCATCCACACACTGTTGATTTCCCAGTGTAGAGGGTCTCCCATCCAGCACCAGGTACACACAGAAAAACCCAGCAGCCCCCAAAATGGCAACACAAAGCTGGTGGATGGGGAGAAGAAAAGGAAGGGGGTGACGTGGCCAGCTCCCACTGACAAGATCATCGTGGGACATGTGAGGGGAAGCTGTCACTGATGAGATGAGATTGTGAGAGGAGTCTCCTGACCACGGGACCCATTCTCAGGGCACAGGTCTGCTCCGTGGCACAAGGGAGGAGGCTGAAGCAGAGCAGGGTGGCCCTGGCATCTGTTGCCAGCCCCTTTCTCCTGGTGAGCCTGGCCCTGCTGAGACCCCATGTGCTAGAGTTGTTTCCAGGAGCTCCGGGAGGTGGGAGGCCAGGGATGGGTGGGTGCGAGATGTCTGCTGGCCAAGGATGGGGCTGGAGCTGTGGGAGCCTGTCCTGGGCACAGCCTGGGAACCCGGGCACAGACGGTGAGTGCCGGGAGCACCGATGCTCCTCTTCTCTCTCTCCTTCCTTGTCTCTCAGGCAGTGCTGGGAGAGGGACAAGGTGGCCACCCAGAGCAGGAGCTTCAGCATGGCAGAGACCAGCACAACAGACTTCTCTCTGAACTACACAACTTCTAGACGTCTGAACTCTTCTGGAAATGACATGGACATGTGCTTCGTATTACCTTTTGACATTCTGGTCTTTTTAGGTGTCTGTATGGGGATTTCTTTGTGTGGAGTTGTGACGAATGGGATAGTCATTTGGTTCCTGTTTTCCCACATGAGGAACCCCTTCACTGTCTACATCCTAAATCTGGCTGTTGCTGACTTCTCTCTGCTCTTCCTCCTTTCTCTGCTCATGTCGGCATTTTTGAGCTTAACAATTTGTTCTCTCTTTAATCATATTTTTTATTTCTATATGAATCTTCAAATTATACTTGGATTTCTGTGCCACTTCTTTGACCTCAGCAGCCTGGGTCTACTTACAGCAATTAGTGTGGACCGGTGTGTCTCTGTTTTCTTCCCAATCTGGTATCGTTGCTATCGCCCCAGGCACTTGTCTGGCATTGTGAGTGGGTTGCTCTGGGCTTTTGCTGGAGCTTTTGTTTCCTCAATGTATCTTGGCCTTTACTTTGATGTGCCACATGAGAAAGCATTTGGAGGTATAGCCATTGCAATCACTGTGACTTTATCATCAGTGATGTTGATTTCCAACCTGTCCCTGTTCATCAAACTCCGATGTGGCTTTCAGAGACGACACCCAGGGAAACTCTATGTTGCTGTCCTGCTCAATGTCATCTTCTTCTTTGTCCTTGCTATTCCTTTCAGCATAGAGGTATTCCTCAATCTTAATCACAGATGGCATCTATTTCCTAACCAGGTACCTTTTTTGCTGGCATTGCTGAACAGCAACACCAATCCCATTGTTTATTTCCTGGTGGGCAGCTGCCGGCGACGGCGGATCCAGGGCTCTTTGAAAGCTGCCTTCCGTCGAGTGTTCGAAGAGAAGGCAGTGAGCGAGGAGGGGAGCCGCACACCCAGGGACACGGCGGTGGAGGCCGCTGTGTGAGGCCCCGCTGGGGAGGAGGCCTGGAGGCACGGAGCCTGGCAGGCAGCTCGGAGCCTGCTTGCTGCAGGGAGGGACCATGGCTGGAGCTGGGCAGGGGGCGCGTTTGACACGGAGCTGGCACGGCACTGCTAGGCCAGGCTCAGTCCCCACACGCGGGCTGTCTTCCCCACTGCAATGCCCCTTGTTGTGCTGGTCCTATGAATAAACTCTGGCTCGCTCTGGTCAGCAGATGAGTTTCATGGTCTTTGGGGGGACATCCTGCCCGGGGAGAGTCTGGTGTGTTAGGCCCTGGGGGAGCTCTGGCTGTCTGCTGTGCAGGCAAGGCAGGGCTCTTCAGAAAAGATTGCAAAATTGGGCAAGCCAATGGGTCCATGTTGGTCATGGGAAGATTAGTGGGATAGAGAAGAAGACATGGGGTAACGTAATATTTTTTGGGGAGAGAGAGGAAAGTGAGGCAGAGAGAGAAGGAGAAAGAGCATGTGTAAGGGAACGGGAACGGAAAAAGGAAAGGGAAAGGGAAAGGGAAAGGGAAAGGGAAAGGGAAAGGGAAAGGGAAAGGGAAAGGGAAAGGGAAAGGGAAAGGGAAAGGGAAAGGGAAAGGGAAAGGGAAAGGAACAGGGAAAGTAACAGGGAAAGGGAAAGGGAAAGGAACAGGAAAACAGTAGAGGACATGGAGCTGTCTCCATGGTGCTGATGCATGAGATTTAGTAAGACAATTTCTTAAAGATAAAATCCCATTTGCAGCTCTCTCTAACCTTCATCTGCAATCTCTAAGGTGACCTGTCTGGGAAGTTGGATCAGACGCAGTAGGTAAAGCCTTGATGCTGCATCCACACACTGTTGATTTCCCAGTGTAGAGGGTCTCCCGTCCAGCACCAGGTACACACAGAAAAACCCAGCAGCCCCCAAAATGGCAAAACAAAGCTGGTGGATGGGGAGAAGGAAAGGAAGGGGGTGACGTGGCCAGCTCCCACTGACAAGATCATCATGGGACATGTGAGGGGAAGCTGTCACCGATGAGATGAGATTGTGAGAGGAGTCTCCTGACCACGGGACCCATTCTCAGGGCACAGGTCTGCTCCGTAGCACAAGGGAGGAGGCTGAAGCAGAGCAGGGTGGCCCTGGCATCTGTTGCCAGCCCCTTTCTCCCGGCAAGCCTGACCCTGTGGAGGCCCCGTGTGTTGGTGCTCCTGTGATGGTGTTGTTCCCAGGAGCTCCAGGAGGTGGGAGGCCAGGGATGGGTGGGTGGGAGATGCCTGCTGGCCAGGGATGGGGCTGGAGCTGTGGGAGCCTGTCCTGGGCACAGCCTGGGATCACGGGCAGAGACGGTGAGTGCTGGGAGCACCGATGCTCCTCTTCTCTCTCTCCTTCCTTGTCTCTCAGGAGGTGCTGGGAGAGGGACAAGGTGGCCACCCAGAGCAGGAGCTTCACCGTCGCAGAGACCAGCACAACAGAGCTCTCCCTGTTCAATGATTCCTTGGATGCTGGAAGGAATAGAAGAGGGAGCAGGGCTTCTTGTGAATCACAGGCTTTTACAGTTGACTTTTTATCTCTGTTTTGGTGGTGTGTTTGGCTGTGTGTGTTGGTGGTGAATGTGGTGGATTTATGGTTTCTGGGCTTCCATATGAACAGCCCCTTCACCTTCTACATTTTGAACCTGGTCATTTGGTCATTGCTGAGTTCTCTCTGATTATTTTTTTTAACCATTTACATTACACAGTGCAATGTTTGCTTGAACTTCCCAGATTTGCTCTTCACTGTAGTTTACCTCACGTTTCTCTTTTACTTTAGCAGCATGTATCTCCTGACAGCGATTGGTATGGAGCAATGACTGCCCTCTTCCCAGTCTGGTACCGATGCCACCACCACAACCACTTACCAGGCCTCATCTGTGGCATGCTCTGGTCTTTCCCTATCCTTTTCATTTGCTTAACTTCTATTTGTTGCAATTTTAACCTAATGTCTGTCCGTGGCAACATATTCAGTTCCGTTGCGACTACCTCAGTGTACTACAGAGAAATCCAGCGGTGCAAATGTCATGTGCTGGGGAGCGGGAGTGCTTGGGCAGGGGAGAGCAGGGGAGCAGCAGGTCCCAGGGATGCTTTTTTTGAATCTCTGCCTAAAGCAGGGAAAGGAGGGGAAATGTTTTGATCAGAACACTCAAAGAAATAACAGGGGGTCACAGCCTTTCTTTTATGTTTCATTTGCTTTTTACAGATCTGCAATTTCACTGAAGCTGTTTCATGTCAGTTAACAGAATTTGGAAAACATTTGATGATTGAGTACAATATTGTTTTAGGAGAGACATGTCTAGAAACTGTGATATCTGCTTGCTGTCCTCTCCCCTTTAGTCACACTCTCAGCTCCACTGGTTGTATTTACTGGATCCCTGTAGTTATAGTGGGGTTACCTGACATGCTAGCAATTCCTGCATTGCAGGAACCCAAAGTCCAGTCACCTAAATCCTACTGTGAAAAGGCTAAAGACAAATTTAGATAATCCCAAAGAGATTTAATTTATTTCTAACTGAAGTTTTCTTCAACAATAGAAAAGAAAATCACCATAAAAATAGAAGTATTGCTGTTTCTTATGGTAGTCTTAGGAAACAACTGAGAGAGCATTTGTACGTACAGGCAGTATCTCTGGACCTTGTGTTATTCACCTGCCAAAAAGCAACTGCAGCTGTTAAATACTTGACTAATGAGGCTGGAAATAGCTGTACAAAAATAAAATAAAATAAAATAAAATTCTATTTTCTGTCCTTTTTCAGTGTATTCTGACTTGAAGATTTTTCTTGCATCTTACATAAAAAAAGTATTTATGCAGTTTAGTTTCCTTCTATCTTCATTCTTCCTTTTGTGTCTTTTCATTACAATCTGTCTTATCATTAGTGCTGTCTTTAACAATAATTCACGTATTAATTCTTCTACCACACATTGTGCAATAAGTATTCCTCATTCTTCTCAGATCCCATCTTTTTGACAGGAACTTCCAACAAAGTGTATATTGGTGTTCTGATGCAAAGCACAGCTATGGATGGAAATACATCCTAAGGCAGTTCTGGAATAGGCATAATATCTGAGATAACAAGATGTATTTTTTAAGACGGAGAAATCAACATTGCCAAATATCCATGAGATTCATCAATTAAGAATGGAGAACAATAAAAATGCAAAACAAAACAATTTAAGAGGTGCTAATATTCATGTAACTACTAAAACAGAAACAATCTATATAAAATAGAAATATCTGCCAGTAAAAATAAATAATAAATAAATAAATAAATTAATTAATAAAATTCTATAGCTGTTTATCTTATGAAGTTTCTTTTCATTAGTCATTTCCTCTATCCAGAGAAGATTAGACGTCATGAAGCATGATCAGCTCAGGAACCAGACCATGCTGTAAAGATGTGTTTGATCTTGCACAGCCCAGATAGGATGTTCCCTGAGAGGATTTGGCTGCTTTTCCCAGAAAAGGAGTTCTGACTGTTGGTAGCTGAGGGAAATCTTCCACCAAGAATTACAAGCAGTTACTGGGACATGCTGGGACCGTGTGGCCATTACACTTCAATCCAGTTCCCATAAGGATGTAATTCGTCCTGCAGTGTCTTAGATGGCAAGGAGAGCTGGACACAGTCTCTGTTTCTGTCTGAAATGTCTGCTCTGCTGCCTCTCTCTTCCTCACTCTCCAACACTGCCCTCTATGCCTTGTATCCTTCCACAGCTGATTAAACAAAAACAAAACAACAGGAGGAACTCTTTCTTTCCATGACTTCCCTTTGTTGCTCCCTGAACCACCCGCCACTTCTGCCTGGGCTCAACTTGACAGTGTTCTCTTTCCACTTGGCTCCCAGCTCTGCCTGTGGCCCTTCCGTCCCCGTCTCTTGCTGTCAGCTGGCTCTGGCTGACTCCAGCTGCCCGTGCTCTCTATAGTGGGTTTCTGTACTGGGGTGGGCTAGCGTTGGCTGAAGGCCAAGCTCCCCCAGCTGTACGCTCGCTTCCCCTCCTCACCAGCACAAGGAGAAAGCCTTCGGGTTGAGGTAAAGGCAGAGAGACCCCTTACCAATTACTGACACAAACAAACCAGATTCTACCTGAGGGAAATAAATTTGATTTATTGGCAATCAGAATCATAGAATCATTAAGGCTGGAGAAGACCTCCAAGATCATCTGGTCCAACCATCCCCCTACTACCAATATCACGCACTAAACCATGTCTCTAAGTACTACATCCAACCTTTCCTTAAACACTCCCAGGGATGGTGAATACACCACCTCCCTAGGCAACCCATTCCAGTGCCTGACCACTCTTTCTGAGAAGTATCTCCTAATTTCCAGCCTTAACCTCTCCTGGCACAACTTGGGGCCATTTCCTCTAGTCCTATCACTGGTTATCTGCAAGAAGAGGCCAACCCTCAGCTCCCAACAACTTCCTTCCAGGCATTTGTAGAGAGCAATAAGGTCCCCCCTGAGCCTCTTCCTCTCCAGACTAAACAACCCCAGTGGCCTCAGCTGCACTTCATGATTTGTGTTCCGGGCTCTTCACCAGCTTCATAGCCCTTCTCTGGACACACTCCGGGGCCTTGATGTCTTTCTTGTAGTGAGGGGCCCAAACTGAACACAGTGCTTGAGGTGCAGCCTCACCAGAGCAGAGTATAGAGGGGTGACCACCTCCCTGGCCTGCTGGCTACAACATTTAGAGCAATGCCTTTCCTGCCCCTTCTTCTTAGCCCAGCTTCATTCCCTTGCCCCCGAGTCCTCTCTCATCAGCAGCACAGGAGGGGATGTTGGGTCACACAGGGAATGGTGGGTTACACACAGATGATGGGGAGGGAATGGCGGGTTACACAGGGAACGGCAGATTACACCACAGCTGGCAGGGTACACCGGGCATGCTGGTTTACACAGAGGACAGCCAGTTGCACACAGCGTGGCGGGTTACATGCATTATGGCGTGTTACACACAGCAGGGCAGCTTACACGCAGCACAGCGCGTTGCGTGCAGAACGGCAGGTTATAAGCCCTGAACACCTCATTTACGAAGCTCTGTTCCCCTCCCATTGCTGCCCTGCTCCAGTGCGGGCCCTGCAGGGCCTTGGTACCCGCAGCCCTGCCACCACCACGGCTCTGCCCCCACGGCGCTCCTCGGCCTGGCCGGCCCGAGCCCGCCTGTGCCCGGCAGGGGGCAGCCCCCGCCTCACAGAGGCCTCACAGAGGCCTCGCTGCCGGCCCCCGCCTGCCGCCGGTGATCTCCCTGTCACACCTGCGTGCATTTCTAGCCAAGTTTTTCCTCTTAGCACGGAGCTCATCGCCTGCCACCACCTGCATCAGCCTGCAAGGTCTGCATGGAGAGGCTGGCAGAGAGGAAGCGCTGCCCGTGGGAAGCCCCTTCCTTCTGAGGTACTGGGCAGGGAGGAAGGGCAGCCTGTCTCTCCAATGCACTCGATTCAAGTCATAATTGAACAGTTGTTTTTCTTTCTTTTTGTGCTCGGATCTCTCCCCCAGCCACCTGCCCCATCCCGTGGGGTGCTCAGGCAGTTTCCCCTCGGTTCCTCTCTCTTCACAGCCAGGAGCCTGGTTGGGCTGTGTCCCTATCTTTAGGAACCATTCCTCCATTGCCACATCTCTGTTCAGGCTGGTGTGTGTCCTCCTGTCCTGCTCTGTCACCTTTGGAAGGATGAGGGACCCACCCCCACCTGACATTTCCTCTACCTACCTCCATCTTCCTACTTTTCTCATCCCAGCGTCTCTCTCTACCTCCTTTGGTCCCACCTCCACTTCCTCTCTCTCCCTCTCCCCCCATTTTCTGTGTCCTGGTTTCTCAGTCGCTTTCCAGCTTGATCAGGATTGCTGGGTCCAGGACATGAGGATTGGGAGGGCCTAAACAAAACAACCAGAGAAGCATTGTTATGAGAACTCCTCTCATAGCAGATGTTTCATGTTGACTAAGCTATAAAGATGTCTCCTGCATCCAGCCCCGGGAAAGGCCAGTGAACCTATAGTTTAACTGAATACAAAACAAGTATTTCAGTGCAGAATGCATTTGTGATGCCTTAGTAGTCATTCATCTGAGTATGAGGGAAAATAATTATCTCCTGCTTCTTCTGATGTGGTGCAAGGGGTTCCATCACCATCTGCATCCTGAACATGACTGCTGTTGGTGCTGGTTTCTGCCTATACATAACTGTTTCCTCTTGCTGGCTTAGTGTAATTGACTACTTCTGTTCTACTTTCAAAGCTGTGAAATTAACAGTACTAAGGTAACATGCAAAGGCAATTGCCCATCAGCCCTGAGGCCCATTAGCATTTTGGTGGCAGTAGTTCCCCTCCTGGTCCAGCGGTGAGTCTACCAACCCAAGAGCCTAATGTGCACCGTGTGATGCAATGAATTTTAACAGTGAAGATACCTGTAAGTCCATCCTTATATCATAGTTCATGATTTGTTTATATTTGCTTCTGATTCCCCTTCTCATTATCATCTAAAGCATAGAGAGAGCAATATCAGCTAGGAGAGATCTACATTATCATTACTATACGTTCCTATTCTGCGTGACTTTCTCCTCAGTGAGCATATCCCATCAAATTTTTAGCTGGTCACCACATATTTCCCACAGACATTTTCTTGCTGTATACAACAGCAGCTTTTTTTTTCATCCATTACCCAATGAAGAATAGCCCAAGAGGATCAAGACTTTTGTTGCATTGTGCGTAATTTCTGAAGAGTAAAACAAAGACTGAAGGTAGGAGACAGCTCCTGTAGAGAAACAGTGGAGGAGTCACCTCAAAGAATAGTGTCAGCAGTTGGGCTCAGAGCAGCTGTTCCCAGAAGGTAAGTGACCTGAAGTTTGCTAAGTTTAGTTAGATTGGTCTAACAAAAGGTCACCTCTCCCTGCCAGCAGAGCTGCACTTCTCTCCTTAGCCCACCTTGTTGACAAAGGTACATTTTCTTTTTAGATACTGTAACATTTTGTGCCTTGTTTTCTAAATAGTCCAAATTCTTGTCCATTTCACTTCTAGGGAAGATGTACTGGTACTTTACTAAGCTAAATGGGAAAAGCAGAATAATAGTATGTGTGCTTTCATGTTTGTGGTAATTTTAACGTCTTAAATAGCATTACAATCTTACTTCCACTCTCAGATGATATCTATTCTGTTAAGCAAAGTAAATGACCTATTGAGGATTGACTCTGAGAACACAGACACCATGGAGAGTATATGAGAGCCCATGGTGCATGATGGTGCAGCTCTTTCCTTGGCTGAATTTCCTGAATTAACCCCACTTGAGTTCATATGGCTTTACTGCAGGGGTACATGTATGTCACACTATTAGAGGTATGCTCAGGATGTATCCTTAGTTGCCTGAGCTGGGGATGGAGGAGGGAGAAAAGGCCTCATTGCAGCTGTTCGGGTACTTTTTGAAGGCACGCAAAAGGACTGAAAATCGAATCAATCATAGAATGGTTTGGGTTGGAAGAGACCTTTAAAGATCATCTAATCCACCCCCCCTGCCAGGAACAGGAACACCTTGTGTCAGATTAGGTTGCCCGGAGACCCAGTCAGACTGGCTTTGAATACTTAAAAGCACGGGGCATCTACAACCTCTTTGGACAACCTTGTCCACTACCCTTGTGATAAAAACTTCTTCCTAATGTCTAACCTAAATCCAGCCTCCTTCAGTTTGAATCCATTATGTCTTGTCCTATCACTACAGGCCTTGGTGAAAATTCTTCCAGCATTTTACCTGTAAGTATTAAATGTATTACCCTTTAAGAATTAAAAGTCTGTAGTAAGGTCTCCCTTTAGCCATCTCTTTTTCAAGGGTAAGTGAGGAATTACATCATAAATGTACATTTGGGCAAGAGGATGTCCTTGAACAGCACTAATCCTGTTCATATGCCTCCCGCCATCATTCCCCAAAGGGAAAAAGGAACCAAATCAAGGCACCAGAGAGTCTTTTTCACTCTTCCTGCACATGGTGAAAACTGAACTGTTCTGAAGTGTGCCCATGACCATACAGATCCCTTCCTCCAGGCCTTAACTGCACTGCAGAAATACTAACAGTAGTGTGTGTGCCTTCTGCTGCAATCAACGAGAAAATGGAGATCATTACAAATTCTGGTGTCAAGGTCTTCTAAGAGGAGTGGAGTTAGGTTTGCCGCTGTTAAGGATGCCATCCCTCACAGTCACTTCATGCTGCTGGCATTTAGGCCATGTTGAGGAGAACACTCAAAACTTACACCCTGGGCTGGCTGTCTCCTTTCAGTTGTCCCCAGGGAGGCAGAACTCTGGGCTTTTTTCAGAAGTACTGGTGGCCCCTGTA